AGACAACTCCTGACGAATATGCTAAAGAAGTTGAAAATGACGACTAAGCAATTCTATACCATGCAAAACTGTCATGTAAGGTGGCATGTATTTTTTACCTAGTCCTGTAGATGTTGTTGTAAAAGTATGTTGGTGGTTTCCTCCTGGTTCAGTTTGTCGAAAAGTCTTTTTTGCTGAATGGTTATAATCTGGAGATAAAACGTCATAGCCAGCTTCATACTCTGAGTTGTATAATGGGTGGTCTCTTAATGAGTGGCTATGGTCGCCAGAAAAGTTTGTTGTACCAGAATGACTATGTGGTGGCAAGTTGTCGACAGATATCGTTTTACTTCCACCTGTTTTCTTTGGAGTGTGTGCACAATACAAAAAACTTTCGAGTATTTGAGTCCAAGTTCCAAAACCAAGTACTACTTCTGGTCTGGTAGAGTTCATTGACGTATAAATAGAACCAACTGGGTAAATGGTTTGAAGTATTTCTGTCTTTAATGTTTGAAGCTCTGTTTTGTCTGCTTTCTTGTCATATAAATCTTGAGCAGTGAATTTAACTTTGTTTTCATCCTCCATGACATAAACATCTTACATCTAATGTTTCTCATCGTCGTTATGTCGTCATCCGATGTTAAACCTTGTGGAAAGTTAGGAGGTTTCCAATAATACATCCCCACCAGTTTCTTCAACCGTTCCTTCAATATTTTCTATAGCAACAGTTGTAAAACTTGTATGTGTATGGTTCTTGTCAGCTTTGTCATCTAACTTTTTTGTAAGTTTGCAATATTTGCAATGGTATGTGTATGTCCAACGTCACTTTTCCTGTTTAAGGTTTCTTGTAAGTTTGTAATATTTGCAATGGTATGTGTATGGTTCTTGTCGCTTTAAGGTCTAAACATCCTGAAACCCACCCTGTATCGGCTTTACCTTTAAAATCTTTGTTGTCCGTTCATGGTACCATTCAACCCTTTCTTTAATTTTTTCATCTTTTTCATCCACATATTCCTTATCTGCCTTCTTCACTAACCCACTAGCCAGATATGCTAACTCATCGTCAACATATGTTTTATCTGCTTTCTTTTCAACATCCTCTTTCGTTGCATAAGCTTTGTTAGCTCTTTCTTCTTCTTCTTTTGCTATTGCATCGTCTACATACTCTTTGTCAGCTTTGTTGTCAACATCTGCTTTCAAAAGAAGTTCATCTATAGGTTTCTCGTTTAAAGTTCGTTTTGTTGGATTTATAAAACAGTATGGTTCTTATTGTCTTGAAACAGAAACTCATCTGTCATTGGGTTTAATGTCAGTTTAGGTTTCCTTCTTTCAATGACTCAGATATCTAGAATAGTTTGAAAAGTTTGTTGTGTTCTTATTTAGAGCTTGTATAATGAGTTGTCGGTTGTGTTGTATTTCTCTCATAGACGCTGTTTCATTTGACATTTTTATTCTAGATAAAATATGCTTCCAATAGAAAAAGAAAATTCAAGAGTTGCTACAACTAAACCATTAGATGAACTTTTTACTAATGTCGGTCAAAAGTTTGAGACAGAGACCGTAAAGCATGAAGGCTATCGTTTTGACTACCCATTAAGATGGTAAGAGACCCATCTGTCACAAAAGCTATGGCTTTCGTAGAATGAAGTTTGTCTGTAGAAGATAAAAGTTTTCCATTTATTGTAAGGTTTCATATAGATTATATATCTGAAGGGAAACGAAAAATGTGGGAAGAATTGAGCTAATACAAGTTGACCTTTCATCTTCTCTACAGACTGCGTTAAAAAATATAGAAGATAAAATAAATTCATGTTATGCAAAATATGCTGATGAATATGCAAATACCGAGAGCACACTTTATGTGAGAATTGTATATGACAAACAAAATTCACAAGTGTCATTTCAAATCTACGAAGACAATCCAAAGAAAGACGAACAAATATATACAGAATTTCACTGCAATGTCATGGTATTATTTGCAAAGAATGTTAAATCAGAAAGTCGAACTTCCTTTAGCAAAATTTACAGTCGATATGCAAGAGATAACCATATTTATTTAAAGATGTTTTCGACCCAGCTGCTATTATTGTTCATGCTTCATTTTCTGGCGCCCAAAACTCTTTCTTATGCTTGGCAAATGACTTTTACGAAAAACCTACAAAGTTATATGAGCCGCCGAGTGGAAGTATTTCAGACTTTCAAGTATGGTTTACTACAGATGGAAGAAAAAGAATAATTCCATTATACCATGCGTTTTACTTAGAACTTAGTTTCATATACAACTACTATCGAACGGTAAAAATATAATTTTTTAATACGGTTGAGGTGTTGGATTTGGTTGCCAACTAGACTGTGGTGCAGGTTCAGGCTGTTGTATAACAGGAGCTTGTTCTTCTGGTTCAGGGTCTTTAGGTATAATACCAACGAACTGACCTACTCTTTTACCAATATTTTTGACTCCGTTCCAAATTCCTCTTCCGACAGATTTTATTCCATTCCATATACCTCTTCCAACATTTCGAAAGAAGTTTCCTATCTTACTGAAGAAACCCATTTTACTATATGTAAAAATCTAATGTCCGCCTAGTCTCTTACGTTTCCTGTTGAGTTCCATAGCATTCTTTAACTGGAGCTCATACATTCTGTTTCTCCTCTGGTAGAAAACATATTCTGGGTCAACTCCTGTGTTCGCGTCATCTGCATAGAGTTGTTTATATCCCACTTCAGGGTTTGTATAAAACTCTTTCCATCTCATATTTGCATACCATGGTGGCAAACCTAACGCAGCGTCATTTGACATGGCAGTTTGCATTTGTACATCTGTTGGCACTTGACCATAGTTTGCCATTGCAGTTTGTATTCTAACTTCATTTGGAATATTCTCTGGGTTTGGTTGTCCAGGTTGCTGTGCATTCGCTAAGTTCTGTGCGTCCATTTAATATTAGATAAAAATATCTCTTACGAGTACATATGCTGAACATTTGCAGGCAGTGGTTCATCTTCATATTCTCTATATCTTTCTGCCACGTCAAATAAGTAAATGACACAATGGAAAAAACCTAAAACTAACAATCCGATTTCAAACCACATTTACTTACCAATAAAATTTCTTTGTTATGACACTTTCTCCAGTTTATAGGACCTCTCTCATATTCTATCTTATCGTATCTAAACTCATAGTCATGTATGTCCTCTAACCATCTCATGACACTTTCCAAACCACTTTTATCGGATGTAAAGTAAAAGCATGGATGGTTATGTAAAACGTCTAAAGTTTCTAAAGAGTCTCTCAAAGTCCAGTCTACTTGGTATTGAAAATCCCATGTGTTATAGAACGGCGGGTCCACTATAAAGAAAACATTTTCCTTGTCTTTATATTTTTCATACAATCTGTCCAATGACATCTCACAAACTCTATACCCTCAATATATTTTTCTATGTCCTCTTTGAAAACATTTGTATAGTTAAGATATAAAACTTTTGACATAAGTGTTTCAATGTCATGAACTCTTATAGCACCACTATATAATAGTCTAGCAGATATACTATCCCAGTCTATATATTCTCTCTCTCACAATATTTTTCTTATCTAATGGTATACGTTCCATCTTACCTATAGGTATCTTTTCTTTTAACTCTTTCAATATATTGTTTGTGTCTGGAATATGTTTGAGACGGTCCATATAGTTGTCGAAGTCATTGCATATAATCTTTGAGTCTGGGAATATTGTATGACATAAATGGGATATATAGAAACTTCCACCGAACAAATCTACAAATGTTAGACCATTCGGTAGTTTCTTAAGTTCTCTCAATATAATATCTTTACATTTACTCTTATTTCCAAAGAAGGGTAACGGTGGTTTTGTAAAATTCATTTATATATAATAATAAAAATGTTTTTTCCTGAAAAGTGACAGAAAAGTGACAAAACATGTACGAAGAAGTCTTGAAAATTCAAGAGGGTAGAAAAGAGGTTAGAAAAAGGTTATATCTAACCTTCTACCCTAAACATTATTTTTGTCTGATTTTACGAAGAAGTCTTGACAAAACATGAAAACATATATAATTTGTGAAAAGCTCCTGGAAGACCCGTATATAAGAACTTCATTTATACTAAACATCTTCAGGGCTAGAAGGCACGAAGTGCCTGGAAGCCCCACTACCTTTTTTTTTTTTTTTTTTTTTTTTTTTTTTTTTTTCTATATATAGATGTTACAAAAAAAGTCACAAAACCCGCACTCATATACTACTTTTTTGGCCAACATATCTAAACTAAGGATAATGGTTTGAATATATAAACAATAATACTTTGTCCAGGGAATTAAATTTGTGCTATCCAATTGTCAATTCTTTGAATTTTTTTTAAATGCAAGATATCCCGGCATTAGCCTCAATAAATATATATATTATGCATCATAATATTAGTTTGTAATGGCATTAAAGCGAAATTCCTAATTTCTTCTCAATTAAATTCCTTGAAAAACATTGGAATTAATGATTGGAAATAGGTCAAAAAAATTCCTAATATAAAACTTATACTTAAGATAAAATTAAAATTCGAAAATATCTATTTTTCAAAACACGCATCCAAAAGCGAAAAAATTCGAAAAAATCATGTTCTTATAAAACTCACTGATTTTGCAATTTTTATGAGATTTGAAGTGATAGAATATATTACCATCTTATTGAAACATATGCTTCATTGTTGTATTCACATAATATTAATCAGAACACTAGGAAAAGTGGATTTTCGAAAAATGACGATAACGATTATTTGCAAATCGCCTCTCAATTTTGAGAGACTTTCAATTTTTACAGTGGACCCTTAACAATTATAATTTTTTTTCGAACAACGATAAAGTTGAAATGAGACAAATGCATATTATCATTAAGACTGTAAATAATACTGATTGATGAATTATTGGTGCATTCATCCTTCAGGAAATTTATTAAAAATTTTTCGAATGAAAAACAAAAAGAGATTTTTATAACGTATAAAACAACTTTACAAAAATATACTAAATTGTACCTGCCATGTTCTTCTTATCCTGAATTTTTGGTACAGAATATTTCTTAATCTTTAATTGTGGAAGGGCAAGAGGAACGAATTGAGGCTTGCTAGATATCCTTACCTTATCTTCAACACCTCTTGGATGTATTTTTGATGGTGGCATTGGAGGCAAATCAACTGAAGTTGGATTAGCAATAACAGTTGGAGGGAGGACAATGGAAGGATCTCTCTTATACGTTCTTGCACAAAAGTTCGCGAATTTCTTCTCTGCTTCGATAGTTCTGTTAACGTTTTCTAACGCCTTCTTTTTACGACCAATCTTAAAGTTTTCTTTTTCAACAAGTAACTTACGTTTGATATCTTGTTGAGAAAGCAACTTTTGAACATCTTTTTCTTGATTTTGGATCAGTTCTGCCCTCATATCTTCGTAATGCTTTTGTAACTTGGAAAATTGTTCTTGGACCATTCGCTTATCATTCTGCATATTCATCTTCTTTTGTTGCTCTGCTTCAACGAATCTACCTGTCATAGCAAGTTGTCTTTCAACCATAATTTCGTTCAATTGTCCTTTTGAACGCTTTGTATACTCTGTATAATTATTTGGATCGCTCCAATAAGATTCAAAGTCTTCAAATTCCTTCACCTGCCTTTCATGCAGAGCATTCTTTTCATTTTCTTGAGATTCATCGAATTCTTTCCATTTTTGTTTCCATTTCTCTTTCTTATCATTAAGAGCTGCTTCTGCCTCTTTGCGACGTTTATCCAAATTGTCCTTGATTAAATTGAATAATTCAGTTCGATCGTCCGATCTGTACTTGAGACGGAGTTTAGCGATTGCATCGTCGATCTTATTGCACTGTAAATAATCGTTTTCATCTAAAGCCTTAATCCTTCTGCCAATAAGTTCATCAATTAATTCGGCAATTTGAGAAGGTTCGTTAATATTTGCATCCTTACCCCTAAGAATGTTATCTGCTATTAAAGGTAATTTATCCGATGCTATAGGCGTACTCTTCGAGCGGGTTGTTTTTCTGAATGATGTTCTAGGTCTACTAGTTTGAGACTGTCTGAGCATGGAAATAAACGTATTTTTATCTACAACACCAGTATTTCCTTTCTTATTGTTCTTTTTAGTTGTCTTATGCGGTTCATTTCCTTGTGGCTGAGTATTTTCTCGGCCGCTTTCATTTGTTGCGGTCTGTTCATCTTGTATTTCAACTGGTTTTTCGTTATCATCAAGAATAATTGGCTTAACTTTGGATTCGATAACTTCTGACGTTTTTTCTACTTCGACTTCATTATTTTCTTCGTTTGTATGAATATTGACTGCTGTAGTTTGATTGTTTGGATCTTCTTGAGCATTGTTGTCTTGATTTGCATCGTTATTTTCAACTTGCTGATGTTCGTTAATTTCGTTTTTTTCTTCTTGTTCCTTTTTTTGTGAAGCAGCGTATTCTTCTGGCATAGGCCATTCTCCATTTGATTTTTCTTCTTCGTTTTTAGTTAATGCATCTTTTATTATATTTTTCACAGACTCTTTTGGCGGTTCAGCAAGCTGCTGAGCTGGCTGGCTTGCAGGGTTAGCCGGTGGTGTATCTTCAACTGGATCATCTCCTGGTTCCCTCCACTCCATGAACATTAAAAACTTATCAAAAGAAAATTAAAAAAAAATGTAAGAGGATTCGTAATGTGAATAATCACATACTCTCTATATATCAGAAAATTTCATTTATTCTCAAGGATCTGATATATTTGATTGTTTCTTGATAATTCTGCTTCAAAATTTTGTCAGAAAAGGATACAACGAATCCTTTTGTAATAGCTGTAAAGTTTGCGATATTAAATATTCTATATTCATCTGGTTTAAATTTATCGGTGGGATTAGAATGGAGGAGGCGTCACACTGGCATCGCAGTGTAAACCATTCAGTTTTCTAATAAATGGTTTATTGATTTTATCTTTTTTGATATTTGTACTAAATACTAAATGGCTTAATTTTAATTGACTTCTTTTTTTATTACCTTCAAACTTAAACCAGTTTTCTTACGTAAAGTCTCCCTATCGTTTTTCTGCCTCAATATTGAGTGAACCTCTACGAAAGAAAAGGAGTTTATTGATTTTACAGATTTAGACTTTTTTTCCATGAATTCATAACAAATGAGGAGTCATAAGCAATACATATCATAAATTTCAATGTGTTTTCCATCTATGACCTTTTAAAAAAGTGTTGAAAATAGTTAATTAGGTAGTTATATATATTGATTCTTTTTTAGAAGGTACCAAAAAAGAAAACAAAGAGCATTGATTAAATATGAAAATTATCGAGTTATCATATGCTTTTTTACGCACATTAAGAATCTCGTATGGAGAAAAATCTTCTCCAACTTGAAAATTCAGTTTAGTCAATATCTATTAATGCCTCCTTGGAACCCTGAAATTATTTATCATACAAAAGGTAGGTCCACCAAAAAATACGTTATTTCACAAGAAAAAAAATTCTCATGAACAACTTCAAGCGGATTTTTCTCAGTAATAAAACTCCAAACTTCTCTTAATTGTGGAGAGAAATTGAAGTTTTCTTCATGCATGAGTATCTTAGGAAAAATTCTAGATACTTTTTCAAAACATACAATAACGCAAGATCTATTCTGTGAAACCGATTAATAGTGCAAATATGTTTATTTGCAGGTCAAATAATCGAATGTTAATTTTAATACTATTTCCTCGAAATCGCTCTTGCAGTTTTCTTCCATTCTTCGTTTATTAGTCACCGAGTACCTACATAGTCTAAATACATTACCAAAACCAAGAAACCATCGTTACGATTTTGTGGACGATCTGGTTCATCAGATATACATGGCGCCTTATTAACATTGAAATCTCTTTTGTATTCGTTAGATAATGGACCATCTGGTTCACTACCATCTATAACAAAGTTTTGTGCAATACAATAGACAGAGTGTTTAGAAATACTATTGCCAAGTTGAAATTTAAAATCATGTGTCCATGAAATTTCCCCTCTTTCTTCAATTATATATGTTTCAGTTTTGTTTTGATATGTACAGTTGACTCGAAGTCCATATTTAGAGATATTTAAGTTATTAGTTACGCGGACTTTGATGACAATTTCATCTCCTGAACTATAATTAGTTTTTAAATCAGATTCATCAACGAAAAGAGAAGGAGGAAGTTTCGATACATTAAATTCATTTACATGATACAAAACACCAAATTTAATTTGCTCGCCTGGATAAATTCTTCTATTAGTCCACCCAATCGTATAAACGGCATCATGGTCTAAAAGTGAATCTGAATCTGTTCTGTTCCAAAAATAATATTGATTTCTTTTATTAAATCTACCGAAATATATAATATCATAAGGGGTGACATGATATCCTTCTTTTCCAATGATGATATGCGAATCATTTGATCCTTTATTTTGCATAATGATTCCTTTCCTGTCATCTGCACTTGGGAACCAATGTACATTTGTGCGTTGCTTATTTTCTATCTGAACATCTGCGTGAGTATGCAAATCAATAGTATGAGGCTCTGTGTCATTATTCGTGAAAATCCATTCGATTAATAGATAGTACGGTCCGGATGGCATTGATATATTTGTTGTAACTTTAATATTTCCAAGGTTCGAAACACTTCCCTCTGTTCCTCTAATAGGTTTATATAATTTCATATCATATCTCCATATTGTCCACCAACCAGTTTTTGCAAATGTAGTCCATTTTCCTTTGTATAGAAAATCAAAATTCGTTTTATTTTGCTTTGCAAGAGGATGACTCTCTCCATTTTCTACTTTAGCTATATCTAAATCATAAGCATTGCCATTCTTTAAATAATATCAGCAAAATGTGATGCTAGTATCATTTTCGCATTCAGGATTTATATCATTAACTTCTAGAGGCATATAATATACTTTTTCCTTCTTAGGACTGTAAATCGGAATCTTTTCATCATTACTGATCGATGCAGACAAAACTTGAAATAAATACATGTTCATTAAATTTTGACAAAATCTTAAATTTTCATTGAAGTGCTTCAATATATATATATACACACATATAAAAGACCTAAAATATCCGTGTAAACAACACAATTACCTTGGCATATACAAAATTTGTGATAAATTGACGGCTAAAAAATTGAGCAAATTATCTCGGACTTTTCAGAGAATTGAGCCAATCATTGAAAGCAGATGAAGACTAGTAATTACCATCGGACTATTTCAGTCATAAGGAGCTTGGTACATTACGATCGAGGAAAAATTGAGAGGATTAGTTTACTCTCTCAATTTTCTGAGAATGAAAAAAAAATCTCATTTAAAGTGATTTTAAACATAAAATTCTTTATTTTTAACAAGGGGATAACACCTTTTGTTGTGTTATCAATAATGAATTGGTATTCATTGCGTAAAATTGAGAAATTGTTCCTTCGAAATATTATCTTATAAGATTAATTTCGAGTGGGACAGCCAAATGGTTATAAGTGGGATCATTGGGGATAGATGGTGCATTTATCCTTCTGTGCTCAAGAATCGATGACGTGTTTTTTCCTTGAGTCGAAGATCACTTTTATTTTATGCATCTTATTTTTTATTCATTCTCAAAAATATGAGAGATTATAAATATTTAAATTTTATTTTGCAGTCAATACTATGCTAAAATGATATTCAGCAATTTTTGGGGTAGGTATTTTGCAGAGGTAGGGCAACGATAGAAAATTTTTGGAAAAAAAGTTCGGAGATCTTAAACGTATCATATTCCCTGCATGGTTTGGTATCTTCCGCCATGCGTTGTGCCAAACATATTGACACTTTCCAATAATTAATTTATGGTATGAGTCACAGAGTTAGATTATAAAAAGAAAGTAAATAATTGCAATTAGAAATCATATATGTCGGAAATCAAATGTTGATGAGCAGAAACCTTTTACTCATCATAAAAGAGATAAATCACTAAAGATTTGTATACATTAAAATTTGATATTTGGTGCTCGAAAACTGTCTGATGGGACTCCTCCAAAATGAACCAATCTATCGCTGAGGACCAAATTAGATGATGTGGATGGTGTATTCTCTAATTCTAACTTAGGAAGAATGGGAACAAAACGAATGACGACAACAACATGTCAAACATAGATTAAATATCTATGAATCAATAAAGTATACGTGCATTGAAGGTGATAACGATCACTTGAGGCTTATAACTCTTTGACTAAATTATGCAATAATTAAATATAATCATTTTTATATTTTTATACTGATAGTAATTAATATACTATCCTGCTTAATAAATGGTATGATCAAATTTGTTTGAAAATTTAATTATGTATATGAAACTATGTCTTCTATATAAAAATCAAAATTTTCGGACGAACCTAGATTGAACCTTTATGAAAATCTATCATTTATGTTAATTGAGTTAATATGAATCTTTTACATATGTATATATAGCATTGATAGCTTATATAATCATGGTTTATTCCATATTAACATATTTTTTCAGTTAAATTTGTTAATAATATCATGTAACAAATTAATTCAAGATTAGAATGTCTACAAAATGCTAACAAATAAGAACAAAATACGACTTCTCGACTTAAATTTTAATATGGAGTAGTTTTTCGTTTAAATCTAATTAAAAATGAATAAAAACTTATCTTGTACTATTTTCATTCAAAGATTTTAATAATGTAAATCATGCATTTTCATAATTCAGTACAGTTCTTTTTAGAATTAAAGTTGATGAGGATGATATTTGTGATTTAAAATAATTTGTTAATGTTCACCTTTTATTCAAAAAAAAAAAAAAAAAAAAAAAAAGGTAGTGGGGCTTCCAGGCGCGTTGCGCCCTCTAGCCCTGAAGATGTTTAGTATAAATGAAGTTTATATTCGGAGGGCTTCCAGGGGCTGCGCCCCTTCTAGCCCTAAGAAATTTTGCCCAAGACCCAAGAGGAGGACCGAACCCCAGCCGACCAGCCGTTGACTTTTTTGTAGAGCACTCAAAATAGTATAACTTTGTCCGGACAAATAATGGTCTATCGTCGCTACAGGAAAAGTTACAGGCGTTCCAAGGAAGTATACTTTGAGAAGCCTTTTTCCCTTATAGAATGAGATAGGACGGTTATTTTACAAAACTGACAACACTTTGACCGAGTAGTTTTTTGTGCTGAACAAAAAGTGTCATATAAACATCTGTCAAAAACCGCTTTTTAACTCCACTTAAAATGCCACGTAAGCTACGTAAGAATATACGTAAGAGGAAGAGAGCATTGAAACATCCAATAGTAAAACTGACACCACAACAACAGTTGCAACAACAAATTATGAATGACCCCACTATGTTGCAACAAATGTCAAGCAACCCTATGCTTTTAAACCGAGTTATTGGTGCACAGAGTGGAGGTTTAAGAGCGGCACTTTTAGCGAAAATGGCAGGCTATGGTGGAGCTGCAGACGGAACAGCTTATAACCCTCAAAGTCAAATGAATTTGAGTTCACTCAAAAATCAAATAACAGATGTCAAAAAGTCAAACATAGACATACAGAAACAAATAAGTGAAAACGAAAAGAAACTAGAATATGACAGACACACAAAGAAACTCAATGAGTTAAACGTAGAGAAAAAGAAGAAAGAAGAACAACTGAAAGAACTAAGTACAGAGGAATATGCGAAAAAAGTGTCAGAAAAAGCAGCAGAAGTAGCAAAAATGGAACAAGATGTTATAAATTTGAAAAACCATACTACTCAATATAAAGTACTGAAAGATGAAGAAATAAAACAAAAAGCCCTGAAGACATATATGGATAGCGATGAGTATAAAAAAGAAGTTGAAGCAAATGTAAAGGCAGAAAAACTTTTACAGTTGCAAAACCAAACCGTACAGTATGAAAACTTAGCACAAGAAAGTAAAAATAACGACGCAGCCATGCAAAAGGCAATGAAAAGCGCAGAATATATAAAAGCTAATAATGACTGGTTAGACGCCCAAGCCAACGCTAAAGCAGCCCAACTTATAGGGTCAATAAGGACAAAAATACAAGCGGATGAAGACAGTTCAAATGAAGCTTTAATGAATGCTGACTTTAAGAACGCCTTCGAAGCTCTTCATAGTAAGGTGAAACTAGTGAACGACTTCTCATCTGGAAAGAAACTGAAGTCTGAAGGTTTCGACAAAGAGTTAAGAGAAGTAGCACAAAATATGACGAAAATAACAGATGCAGCAACGAGACAGGCAGTTCAAAGTGCCTATGACGCCGTTAGAGCAACTGTTGTGGAAAGTCAAGAAAAAGAGTTACAACAGACCAAAACAGACCTAGTAAATGCTTTCTTAAAAACGAAAAGTCAGGTAGGACATTATGCTGCAGATGGAACATATGTGCCAGCTGGTGGAACTTATATACCAGCTGGTGGAACTTATATACTAGCTAGTGGAACTTATATACCACCAAACCCTCCAAGAGAAGCACCTGCACCAGGACTACCTAAAACATTTACATCGTCACATGGACACAGACACAGGCATGCACCAAAACCAACACAACAACAACCACAACCAGCACCACAACCAACAGTTCAAAACACTGCACCACAACCAACAGTTCAAAACACTGCACCACAACCAACAGTTCAAAACACTGCACCACAACCAACAGTTCAAAACACTGCACCACAACCAACAGTTCAAAACACTGCACAGCAACAACCACAAACAGAGCAAGGACATAAAAGAAGTAGAGAACAAGGAAACCAAGAATTCTTAAAAATGCTTAAGGAAAATTATGGTTACCCAGATACTCTTGACTTTAGTGACAGATATAAAGAAGCTATTAGAAAGTTCAAGGAAGGAAATACTGACCCGAACCTATTTAGCTTTATGGTTCAGCACCAAATGGGATATAATTTCAAACCTGGAAAATACAAGCTCGCTAAGGGATATGATTTAATAGCATATCATCCAAATGACATGAATGAATTTACTCCGAGATATTTGGTGTCAGAGATAAATGATAATTCAACTATCTTCATGAAACGCGTAAAAAATAGAGACGGAACGAAAGAAGAAAGGGTTATGAATGCGGATGACTTAAATAGGGAACTTGTTAAAAACGGTCTCGGAATATATGAAATGCCAGCAGATGAGGTACAAGAAACTCCACAGGAAGAAGTTCAGATACAACCAGACATGGAAGAAATAGTTCAGCAACAACAGCTAGAAGAGCCTGAAGGAAACAAACAAGTCCCTCCTTTGGAAACTAACTTCACAGAACTAGATGAAGATTTGGAACAGCCGAAAAATCTTGACCCTCAACAAGTGTATGCGGGGAATATGGAATCTTTCCAAGAGTCTAAGAAAAATTCGGCTGACATAGTAGAAGAATATCGAAAAATGTTCGCCGACATACAAAAGACTCCAACATCAGATGAAAATATTCAGCATAGAATGGAAGAACTGAAAGAAAGTGTACGCAAATACAACAATCCTTTTTACTTACGACCATATAACGTTCAATCTTTGGCTGAACTCGGTGAAAATAAAAGGTTAAATTTCACCAAAACATATAGAAATGAAACATTGTTTAAAGTTCATTCAGAACCTAGCCAATATGGAAACAAACCTACTTTTGTTTCTGCAGACTATGGAACTACAATGAGATGGGGTCATAAAGCTAATCCGGATAGGTGGTTCATAAACTTACAACCACAATTCCAAGAAGTTGTAGACGCAATGGAAGTGAATGGTGAACCAGATATAGCTGGTATTTTCAGCGCGGCTTTAATGCCATTGAAAGATATGAAACATGCAGATATTTTGGACCAGTATGAAATGAACATGGCTGATGGAAATATAACACCTGACGTTCTAGAACATTTATCTCAAAGAACTACACAGAACCATAGAGATGGTATATTTGGTGAAGAGTTTAGAAAGAAAGTTAGGGAGAGAGAAGGAAGAGAACCTATTGTACATGACCTTGCAAACGAAAGTTTGCAAAATGTCATAAAAACTTACTTTGCAGACAATGAACCGAGAAGGGATGAATATTTAAGAAAACTCAAATGGACAGTACCAAATGAAATGTTAGTATTGAAAAACATGTTCCTTGACAAAATAAAACCAACTACAGAAATAAATGACGCAAGACTGAAACATTGGGTAAAAGCTTTCCCATTCACAAAAGATATTATTGGTAACATGGAAAGAAAACCAGAATGGCTACAAAAACATATATTTGGAAACGAGCTTATTCCATATGGACAAGCTCTGTTTGAAGAGCTTGAACCGGAAACTCAGGAAAGAGTCATGCAAACAATACGCGAAGACTCAAATACAAACTATGACAAAATCTTTCTAGGATATAGGTTACCTGAGATGGGCGACCAGAGCCAAAGGCAAAAAGGACATGGGAAATTTACAACATACTAGGTGAACATGAGGCAAAGATGCAACAACTTGAAGCAGAGGGCAAGTTACCAAAAGCGACACCAAAGAAGAAGAGAAGAGTAGAACAAAGTGAAAGTAGTGAAGAAGTAACTTCATCTAGTGAAAGTAGTGGCAATGAAGGAAAAAGAAGAGTTAAAAACTCAGTCAGGAAGAAAGTAAAGCTTGGTCGAGTGGGTTCTATTATGACACATAAATCCAACTATTCTATATTTTTACCATATGAAATGTACGCCGCTCAGAATATAACGCCAACAGTTTTGGATGCCATGAACGGAAATGTTTCCGAATGGTATAACGAATGCGACAATGCCATTAGAAGGTCAGAAATAGTTCCTGGAACTTACGAATATACAACTGCTGTTTCTTATGGAAACGTAGGTGAGTTTGGAGAAGGTTCTTCAACAACAGTAGATATTGCTTGCGACAGGTTTCATATTATTTCTATTGACAACTCATTCTTATACGTGGAACAAGACATTGAAATAAAACCTTCTGCCAAGTTGTCTGACAAGAAAGGTTGCAATGGAATTTTCTATGTCGGATACCAATATGCTCCAGAAGTTTTCATGGGATATAAGATATATTCTAACTCTGACTTAGTTCAAACAGTAACATGGGCAAACTATGAATGGTTCGCTTTGAGAAACTCAGTACAACCACAAGCTAGAGAACAAACAGACCAGTATGCAAATATTGAGAAAATAAGAAGACTTGACCCTAACGTTCCAGGAGTTTATGTTAACCTTTCTGGTTCAGATGGAACTGCTGCCACTAAAGTAAAACTGAAACTTAGAGTTCCTTTGTCATCTTTCCTCATCTTCAGGTTTTTAAGATACTTGCCAAACTGGGCAGGAAAAATTTCTATTGAACTTACTCCAAGCAAAAATAACTTAGTCATTGCACCAACACAAGACCCATTCACTCTTACAGACGTAATGGGAACAAATCAAACGTCATTCGCCGAATTTTGCAAAGACAAAGTTGACTTAGACTTTGGTTTCTCAAACTTCAACAATGAAGTAAACTATATTTCAATGCTGCTGGAACTGCTTGGGACCCAGTTAAGTTCACATGCGAAAAATTTGAATGCAAGAGAATAGAAAGCAGACTTGCAGTCTATATGTTGGACCCAGATATTTCAAATGCTTTAGCTGCCAAATATATTGCAGTTCCACTTATGTTCCCTATACACCAAATATCTGTCAAAGACTTTGCAGGTGAAGTTGGAAACCAAAGTGCTGACCCAGGTGCAAGAACAGATATTGCTTTAACAACTGCAATGAAACATGCAGATACTATGTTTGTACTGTTCAGACGAACTATAAATGACTATTCTTGTTTCTACAACCCGGTATTAAATATCATATAAACATAGATGGCAAATATTATCCAAGAGAAGAATATTCTACAGTTGAGGATATGAGGTCATACAACTTGACATTAGATGCTATGAACTTTAACAACAACTTCACAACAACCATAAACCCTGAAATGCAAAGTTCTATTATGCCATATGTGAAAGTATGGACTCATACAGGAGGTCAAAAAACTCAATATACAAATGGAGACCGTTCAAACTTTTGGCTTGGCATGGCATTTCCATGGCTCAGAAGACTTTATGGTGGTATTTCAACTGTTGGTACTGTACAAATACAATATACTGGTGACAGAGACGGTCCAGATGAACTGAGAGCAAAGAAGTTTACAAAACCAATAGCACTTTTCACGGAAGATGCTCTTTTGAAGATTCGTTCGATGAAACCTGCTGGGGCTCCTCAGATTGGCATAACGACAGCTTCCATCGAGCAGATTTTGGCAGCAGGTCAGTAAGTTGTTCTTGAACTGACTTCTCTCCGTCAAATATTGACAGTACGCCAGTTTTGACAAATATTGTAGATAAACTTTTCCTTTAGAAATATCTGTAAGTTTTGTTGTTATATTTTTGTCAACGTCAAGAACTTTCACCATTTCAGTTATACCAACTTTCTTTGCTTTATGGAAATATTTTGGTTCAGCAAATATTGCTATTCTATAACATTTACCATTGTTTGTATAAAGAACTATTCTGTCAATGTATTTGTATTGTTTGTGTGTAAACTTTGTTCTGCTTCAATTCGAAGAGATACTCGAATACGTCCATCTTTTTATCTAAAGTAAAATGTCATTTCCGAAAAATAGAAGCGTAAGTGTTTCAAAAGGTTTAATGGCGGTGGCAGATGTGAAGTTAAATTCACCAACTCAAACAAACAGTCAAAGTGTTATTGTCAATGCAAAGACAGAGATGTTGAAGTGGGGAAACCATACGAAGACGAAGATGGTATAACAATTGTTCTGTAAAAGAACAACCAACATATCCTGAAGTTAGCAGAGACTTAAGTTCTGTTGCAGATATTCGAAACGACTACCAACAACTGAAAGACAACTTCAAACTCAGGAGAAGATTTGTCAAGCTTTAAGTTAATGTTAAACTTGGTCGAACACAACCCTGTAAAAGTGAACTCATATGTCATTGCACCTCATGAAGTCTTGAAAAACTATTGAAACTTTTGACAGAGGCAGACGATATAAACATCAAAGAAATAGAACCGACATTAGTTGCTGTGGTGTTTCATATAATGTCATTGACAAGATATACGTTATGAAAGGAGGTGAAACGTTGAACTTAAAGTATAGTTTCCCAGACGTCATAAAAATATTTGACGACCACAACATTTCATTAAAATTTATTGCTAAGTAAAAATGTCAAAACTTCTTGAAAGATGTTTGAAGAAAAATAATATAGACTTTATTTATGTAAAGGACTTTACACACTTTTGAACGATATGAAAGACCCTGTTTTGTTTGTTCGTGTAGACAAAGGAAAGTTCTATGTCTTTACAAAATATTTGAACTTCTTAGACAGAGAACTTCAAGAAACGCCATGTGAAAGTTTAGATGAAGTTCTTCTCCACTTTCAGAAAAACTTTTAAATATATATAAATGGCAGAAGATATAATGGTTTATACTATTACGACTAAAAACCCTGAGTCATATAATTCTATAACAACAAACTTACAAAGTCCTCAAGGACGGTATTGTAAACTAACTTTAAACACAATGACGACTAAAGCCTGTTTTGCTCTTTTGACACCAGAAGACTTTATTGTTGTGAATGGTAAAAAATACTCCTTTGAAGATACTTACTCAGATATACCACCAACAGGTTTTGTTGACTTATTTAATACTTTAAGTACGGTGTAACATGTGCTGCAACTAGAGCAGGTTTCATTATGTTTGGATGTCCGACTGAGTTTACTATAAACAATATGAGCTATAATACAAAACTTATATCTGGTTTTTACTACCAACAGTTTTATAACAGGAAAAGGTGTCATACAAGGAATGTCTGTTCCATTGACTTTAAAGCACACCAATCTTATATATTGTTTCAAACTTAGGTTCAAAGTGTTATTCGAATGTCGACAGAAACTACTATGACCAAAAGATACTTATGCGTATAAACAATACTTTCTCTGCTGGTTTGCCTATTGTTCATTCGAATGCAGAATTTTCAACCTTAGTGAACTCAAACACTTTGGCAAGTATAACGTTGACATTAGTTGACGCAAACTTTGTTCCTGTAAAACTTTTTATGTTCCTATGTATTTGTCAATGACGGCAGAAAGTTTCGAATTGGAAGATGCAACTGGTGAAAGTATTGTATTACAAGAACAACTTCAACAACAAATAGCTCAAGAACAACAAATGCAACAAATGGAACAAATGCAACAACAAAGTCAAGAATAAAAAAAAATATTTTTTTTTATTTTTATAAAAATGTACAGAATAGATGTTTCAGATTTTTATGACTTCCAAGCATTCAGAAATATGTGTCCATTTCGAGACTATAACAAAGCAGTCGAGAATTTGAAACGTTTAGTCATTATGTCGACTCTGCCCCAGAATGTTATGTTATGAAAGAATGGGATGTTGTCTTTAAACAACCTAAAGCGACAATAGTTTCAGAACAAGAATGTAAACAGAAACTTAAGAAAATAAAAGTCGTACAAGTTGGCATGAAGATGTTAGATGCTTGGGATATTCTTATTGTCAAAGTTAGAATTTTTCAGTTCGAGGTATAAAGTTCTATACACCTTCTCCAAACTTCATTCTATCTTCACTGGATATAAATACGAACAAGTAGAATGGAAACACAGTATTATAAAGCTTGGTTAGACCATGTCAAAGAAATTATATGCAATGGAAACGAAAAGGTTTATGTATCTTATGTTGGTTTGCAAACATCTTACAACATCCAAGTGCAAAAATGAAACTGCTCTCATTATAATTGGAAACAAGGAACTGGTAAGAACACATTCTTTACAGATATTTGTGCAAACTGTTAGAAGGTTATTCGAATCCGAATATGACAAACTTAGAAACATCTGTGGCAGTTTAACTCCTCAATAGAGAATATGAAACTTATAGTTTGCAATGAACTTCAAAGTATAGATACAACAAAAGTTTTGAACTCAGATGCTTTGAAGAGTCTTATAACAGACAAAGTTGGAGTTGTTGAAAAGAATATAAAGACCAAAGAGTTTGTGAAAATGTTGCAAACTCATTATGGTTTCAAACAATGCTGTTCGATGAAGTTAGAAAGTTCTGACAGAAGATATGTAGTTGTCAGAACGTCAGAAGCTCATATGCAAGATACAGAATATTTTGACGACTTAGCAGAACTTTGACATCTGACTTTTACAACCACTTGTTCTCATATTTCATGACATTAGATATTTCTAAGTTCAATCCAAGACAAATTCCACATACCGAAGAGAGACAAACATTGTTAGAAGCAAACAAGAGTGTATATGAACTGTTCATAGATGAAACTGACTTTGAGTGTTTTAGATGAAAGGTCATTGTACGATTCGTATAAACAATATTGTCAAGAATATGGTTATATGACAGCGTCTAAACGAACATTCTTGCAAATGTCAAAAGTCTTTTAGATGTTCAGAATGGTGTATATACAAAGAAAAATTTTTCTGAGTAAATTTTAAAAAAAAATATTTTTTTATCCGATAGAAAAGATGGCAAAATTCATTCAGTAAACAAGTACATGTCGGAATTAAAGAAGAAACTAGACCCATTCACATATTTGAATGTTTACTTCTACCATTTTGAAAAGTCTTCATTCAGCAAAGTTTGGAACATCGAACCAGTTAAGTTTGCTATTGTGACTAAAAATGGTGCGAAATTTGAAAGACTTAGACATAGAAGGTTTGTTAGCAGTCAAAGAAAGTTTTGACAGAAGGTTCTCAAACTTAAAGAAGGCAAAAGCATACAAACTTGTTATACTTATGAACCAAAGAAAGCAGACGACTATGAATATTATGAGTCTAAAGTTGTAGAAGTTCAAGGTAAATTGGGTAAAAAGATTTTAGAGTCTAAGCCAGTGTTACTCCTAAAGAGGAAGAGAACATTGACATTGACCCAGAAATGTTCTAAAATAAAATTTTATTTTTACATGTCAAATTTCTTTTTCTCTGGAACTGGTTCAGGTTCTTTCTTCTCTTCTTCTACTTTCTTTCTTTCTTTTCTCTCTTCTTCTTTTCTGGTGGAGTTATGTCAAATTTGGCGCAACATATTTATGTAAAAGTTCTTTGTCCTTTAATAGCTCATCTATTCTGTTTTCTATTTCATCTTCAAGAACAGCGCATGTGTCTTCTTTGCATTCTAAGAACTTTTGTTGGACTTCATCTTTCCAATCGGTGTCATCTCTGTCAACAAGTCTGTCATTGACAAATTTTAAGACTGCTCTGCTTAATGTTTTATGGTTCTTGTCATATTCCCAGAACAGAACTTTAGAACAAATTCACCTTTCTTGTTTACACTATGTAAGATTTTATGGTCGACAGATGTTTTTGCTGTCGAAAAGTTTGTCTCGAATATAGATAGCGAAATCGCTAGACATTTTCTAAAAGATAAAAATTTTAATTTTTCTAAAATATGTTAGAAAAAAGTTTGCTGACATTGACAAGAAATTTGAGAATGTTTTAAACAAGAACAAGAGGAAGTTAGAAAATGCTCAGATAAAACCTATACATGACAAGTTCTTATTTGCTCAGAATGGTATAACAGGTCTAATTGCACCACCTGGGTCGGGTAAACTTTCACTTATCTTAAAATGGCTGCACAACAACAAGAACTAGATGAGAAGAACCCATTCTATGAGTTAGTTGTCATTTGTAGTACTTCTGGTCAATTTGACCAAACCGTCAATTCGTTCAAAGATATTATAAAGAAGTCTAAGTTAGTATGTATAAAAGACTCTGAGTTGTTAGATTGGATAAAGAAGTACCAAAGAAGAGTTTTGAAGTATAATGCTATAAATGAGTATATAAATTCTAAGTTAAAGACCCAAATGAGGAAATGCAGAGATATTAGACAAACACCACTTCAGAAACAAACAGAAAGAGATAGAATACATTTCGAAGAAATTGCAATCTTACGATTGGAAGACTTACCCTCATAGATGTCTTCTTATCTTAGATGATTTCGCTTCTCATCCTTTGTTAAAGAACAGAGAACAAGATATGTGTCGAATTCTTAAGAAGCTCAGACACTTTAACATCTCAGTGTCATTTGTGTACAGACAGCAAAGAGTTTAAGTAAGGATGTTAAAAGAATACTTACTGACATTATACTTTTCCCCGGATTGTCCGAAGACGATTTCATGGAACTTATGAAAGAGTCCATGGCAGGTAAGTTTGACAGACATGAACTATGGAGAAGTACAAAGTCATACAAGACCCTCATACTTCTTTCAGAATTCATATCTACGCAAACAAAGTTCAAATTGTAAAAAGTCAAGCTTGAAAAATCTAAGTGTTTAGTCTTAGTAAGTAAGTCTGTTGTGGTGCTGGGGCTGTCGGTTCTCTGGCTTTGGAAGGCATTCAGGAAGAGGGACGTGAGACATTCGTTTGTGTCCTGTCGGAAGGAAGAACTTTTCCAGTTGTCGGGAAAAACTTTTCCTGTCGGAAGGAAAAATTTTTTCTGTTGGAAGGAAAAACTTTTCCTGAAGTTCGACCAAAAAGTTCTCAATTTTCGAAAATTTGAATGGTTTACGACGGACAACTGGAAAATTTTTCTTGTCGTCGGAAAAATTTTTTCTGTCGGAAGGAAATTTTTTTCCAGTTGTCGGGAAAATATTTTTCTGTCGGAAGGAATTTTTTTTCCAGTTGTCGGGAAAATATTTTCCTGTCGGATGGAAGGACTCGGAATGCCAGAAGGATTTGACGAGGCAATTTACTTTATAGAGCTACCTGAGCCATCTGAAGTCAAGCTTGAAAAATAAATGGCTCATCTACTCTACTTGTTTGAAGTTGTCAAAATACTCTGTTATTTTTTCCTTTAACAATGACAAATCTTCTTTGAATGTAAGTATTGTACAACCTTTAATATCATAGTGTGTTTGAGGTAACGTATCTTGAACTATTTGTTTCACATCTTCATTCGGTGTCATTGAAATCGGTAAGTTTTCGCGATAGAACCAATTTCTGTCAGATTTGTAAATCTTAGCAAGGTCGTAAAAGCTTTTGTTGTTTCTTCTGACTAAATGCAACATAACCATATCTCTGTCTTCTTCATTTTCCATCTCTTCAGTATAAATCATATACTTATAGTTCTTTTCCTTTCCTTTTGGTACCGAACGTGGTATTCTTTTCTGAATGCTTTTGTCTTTTGCTTCAAGCTTGTTCTCTAGCTCTTCACGTTCTTGTCTATGAATTTCATCTAACATCATGAAAATATAACAAGCATAACGAGGTGAAGCCCACATTGCTACGGCATTTACTAAAAGTCTATGAACATAATATCCTCTCAAACCAGGAGCCAAATTCTTGCGATTTTCGTACGGAATCTCTACCCTCGGTTTTCCTCGGGTAGCAAACATATGAGGAAATTCTTCTAAAAGTTCTTTTGTCTGTTGGTTTTCAAACCAATGATATGCTTGCTTTGTAGAACGAAGAGCGTTCAAAATACTTTGCATTTGGTACATATCGTCTTTGACCGAACGAATGAGACGTAACTGTTTGTTAAACTGAACCCACTCATATTCTTCATTTATGGCTTCATGAACGATAGCAGTTGTTGTGTTCTCTGATGTTGACATATCTGTCCTTACATACAAAATAAAAAAATAAATAAAAATAAAACTAACTTTATTTTTTCTATCTTAAGGAAATTCATGATTTTCATAGAGTTTTGGCGACTAAGGTTTCTTACCTACTCGCTGTTCTTCACTGTTTTCATAGAGTTTTGGCGACTAAGGTTTCTTACCTACTCGCTGTTCTTCACTGTTTTCAGAAAAAAGTCGGTCTCGCTGTTCTTCACTGTTTTCATACGGAATCTCTACCCTCGGTTCTCCGAGGGAAGCAATCTTATGCCATTTTACTCAGAATTTTGTGCTGAATTCAGCAAAAATATATTTTAGGTGAAGAGGTGCGATCTCACCTGTTTTTTCACCTGTTTTTTTCACAAGCGTTTTACATGGTAAACGTTATTTTTACATTATGACACGAAGTGAAGGTTTGCACTTCGTCAAAAATTAGCGTTATTTTTACATTATGACACGAAGTGAAGATTTGCACTTCGTCAAATTTTAGCGTTATTTTTACATTATGACACGAAGTGAAGATTTGCACTTCGTCAAATTTTAGCGTTATTTTTACATTATGACACGAAGTGAAGATTTGCACTTCGTCAAAAATTAGCGTTATTTTTACATTATGACACGAAGTGAAGGTTTGCACTTCGTCAAAAATTAGCGTTATTTTTACATTATGACACGAAGTGAAGATTTGCACTTCGTCAAATTTTAGCGTTATTTTTACATTATGACACGAAGTGAAGATTTGCACTTCGTCAAATTTTAGCGTTATTTTTACATTATGACACGAAGTGAAGATTTGCACTTCGTCAAATTTTAGCGTTATTTTTTCTATCTTTCACAAAAGACCAAAAATAAACGCTTTACATGTATTTTTCAGCAACTTCGTCAAATAATTTTATAGCTTTATCTATCTCATCTACTTCAAACGTTTCTTTACCTTTTATGGGAGCACCATACATTTTCTCAAACTTTTCGAGTAGTTCTGTTTCAGCAGCTCTCATATCATTAACTAACACAACCTTGACTCTATTGACTGTACTGTCATATCTTAGAGTTATATTATATGTCCTTCCTATCTTATATCTTTTTGTGTTGAAGTCCTTCGGTTTCTGAACGATGTAAAGTAAGCCTTCACTGCAACGTTCCGTATCGAATGAACCATATGTTATGAAGTTATATCCAACAACTGGGTCAATCCATAACAAAACTATTGGTATAAGACTTTTGTCTATAAGATATGCTGCAGTTCCATAGAATTTTACTGATATCATAAGCTCAGGATTTCTTGTCAAAATTTTCTGAGTTGAAGCATTTATAACCCAGTGGTTTGTTTTCTTTCCAAATGGAGATAAAATGTCTGACAAAGAATATTTGTTGTATTTCTTTGAGTATCTTACGTTTAAATCACCTATTCTAACCACTTTGGTGTCATTGTCTATCTTTCTAACTGTTTCAAACTCAATGTTTGACATCTCTGTCTTTAAGTCAGCATAGTCGTTTCTCATACGTTCTATCTCTTTGACGGAGTAGTTATATTTCCTCATTGCCGCTTTACATTTTGAACATTGCGGGTTCATTTTTGCGTTATATTCTGAAACCTTACCTGCTAAAACAACTAAGGCGTCAATGGTTTTCTTTAACTCAAAAGTTGCTGGTTTTATCTGTTTGTTCCATATTTTACATCTTCTATCTTTATCTCTTATCTGCCATACACATTCTGCAACTAACGAAACAAAGTTGTCGTAGGTCTTAAATTCTTCAGATTTATATATGTCAGAAACATTCTTATATACCATGTCGCAATCTTTGTCCATAACCTTATGGTTGCAATGAAATCCAAGGAATTCATAGTTTACCTTTCGTATGAACTTCTTTATTTCTACTGAGTCAGTTGCTTTGACTTCAATTTCATCGAATTCAGGAATGGTTAGTTTTTGTTGCTGAATTTCAGGCAATTTAGGCAAATGGTCAATAATGTCCTGCATTTCATAAAGATACTGTTCATTTGTTTCATCTTTCGCACTACAGTCTAAATTACATGTTAAAAGTTCTTGCTTTATCTTCTGGATTTCTGTTTCAAAAGTATATGAAGAAGGAATGAAGCTTTTCATCTCTACTAACATTGACGTAGGATTCATAACTAACGAGTTTGGTGCTGTTGTTTGAATTGTTGTTGTGCCGATTGTTGACATTTTTATTTTTTTATACAAAATAAAAAAAATAAAAAAAATAAAACTAACTTTATTTTTTATTTCGGGAAAATTCATGAAAATTCAAGAGGTTAGAAAACATGTGAAAAAACATTTACGAAGAAGTCTTGACAAAACATTTACGCTCATTACGATGAAGAAGTCTTGACAAAACATGTACGATGAAGTCATGACAAAACATTTACGAAGAAGTCTTGACAAAACATGTACGATGAAGTCATGACAAAACATATACGAAGAAGTCTTGACAAAACATTTACGATGAAATCATGACACTTTTTCATTAGATAACTGTTATTTTTTGACGAAGTGAAGATTGACACTTCGTCAAAAAAATCCCTGAAATCATATCTAACATACAAAAAAATACAAAAAATGACACTTTTTCATTAGATAACTGTTATTTTTTGACGAAGTGAAGATTGACACTTCGTCAAAAAAATCCCTGAAATCATATCTAACATACAAAAAAATACAAAAAATGACACTTTTTCATTAGATAACTGTTATTTTTTGACGAAGTGAAGATTGACACTTCGTCAAAAAAATCCCTGAAATCATATCTAACATACAAAAAAATACAAAATAAAACTAACTTTATTTTTTCTATCTTAAGGAAATTCATGAAAATTCAAGAGGTGAGAAAACGTGTTAGATCTAACATGCTACCCTAAAAGTATTTTTCAATACTTTTTCAGCACTTTTCCGTAGTTATATATGAAAGACAATTCGAGATAAAAGTCATAGTACAATGGAATAATATGTTGCACACCATTTGTTGTGAACCAAACTTGAAAGTCAGAGAAACTGTTACTAGGTGGTTCGTAGAATTTAGAAGCAAAGTCATAAAAGTCCTTACCAATACATAGAAAACTATTGTTGCTTGAACTGAAACTTGCATGACACATAACATTTTGAGGGTCAAACACGTTTCTATAAACTGTCAAATCTGCTGGTGGAAGTATAAATTGAAATGGACCATCTGGTGGTAATGGTTCGTTCTGGTTTAGTAACCGAAGAAATTGTGCCCAAGAACGTTTGTCTACTTTCCAAAATAAAAACTCTGTATCTCTTGGAGGGTTAATTTCAATCTTTTGAAATGAAACGGTGGAGTTCATCTTGTCATATTCTAGTTTCAGATAGTATGTTCCATTTAGTAAAGAGTCGTATTTTTCTTGAAATTCCCAATAATATTTGTTCATTTGAGTTTGAAAGTCATTTAGAGTTTTCTCAAGACTTTCGTCTGAACGAACTGTAAAGATTCTCATTTCGTCAAATTTGTCTATTAGACCATCAGAACCTTTATACTGCCCATGAAAATATACTGCGAACATAAATGCGTTAGTTCTATTTGAAAACAAAACTCTTCTAAATCCTATTGCCTTTGCATCTGAAGGACTTTGAAGCCAACGAATTGGATAGTCAAACCTGTATACTCGGGATGAAATTTCTTCATCTGAAATAGTCCTACCAGCATTTGTAAAGATATAGTCTAACGGTTTTGTATCTGCTACTTTTGTTCTTTGTTTTTCAACCTGAAGCATTTAATATATGTAAAAATATATTGTTTTAAAATGGTATGCCATTTCATATTTCTCATCTAACAAACAAGTTTCCCAACGGTCTTCTCCAACAAACTCAGCGTACATTTCAAATTCGAATAAAAAAATGTCACTTTTTAAAAAATAAATTTTTACTTCATGCAATGTTTAACACATCGAAAGGCATGTCCATAAGACGTTCTTCTTCTAACCTCTCTAGTCTGTTTGGATAATTTGCACGTGCTGTTTCCAAATCCATTTCGTAGGTCAGACCAGCCAGTTTGTCATAGACTTTTATGGGTCTTCCCTTCCTATATTTAAACTTCTTCGAAACTCTCCAACCATATCTTTGCAACTCTGCTTTTATTCTAGCAGATTTTCTATCCATTCTATATGGGGGCATTTTTATAAAATAAAAAAAATATTTTTTCTTTACTTTACATAACCGCCTGCTACCATAAGTCTTTGACGCCAACCCATACCAGCTAATGAAGGTTGACTTGGTTTAGTTTCCAAACTAAACTTTGGTTTTGGTTTATCTTCAGTTTTTGTTTTTTCTTCTTCTATCGGTTTTTCGTCACTTTTCGGTTTCTCTGACTTTACTTCACTTGCAGGAACAGTTGTGTCGTCAACATCTTCATAAATATCATATGCCATTTGTTTTTGTTTTCCTTTCAACTTTTTGTGTTTGTTGTAAAGTTTAGAATATTTCGACTCTAAGTCAATGAGATGTTCTATAATGAACTGTTGGTCAGTGAAGTAAACTTTTCCATCTGTTGTCTCGAAAGCTCCTTCAGACTTCAATATTTTATTTGTGAGAGTCTGTTTCTTTTTTGAGATACTAGCCGTTCCATTTTTATGAAAAGTGACTTTATAGTTAGGGTTTGTATTTCCAGACCTGGCACTTTCTATTATTGAATTTTTCTCTTCATCTGTAAGTTCTTTGACAGGTTTTGACAATGGTTCTGAACTTTTTGTTTGTGGTGTCAAATCTACCGTTTCAACTTTCTTCGGTCATTTCATCTCAGTAAAAAAATTTAGTTTGGTTTGTTTTCAACTGGTTGTTGTTGTTTTTTAAGTCGGTCTAAAACTTCCTGAGGTATAGGAAGAACTTGACAAAACACGTTGTGTAACTGCTGGAAGCCGACAAATCCATCTTGAACCCATTTGTCTCAATGCTGTATTGTTCATTTCATCTCAGTAAAAAACTTTACATTCCCCACGTTTGAGGCGGTTGAGGTTGGTTATTGTTTACCCATTGTTGTGCATGGTTATATCCTCTGTTAAAGAATCTTTCACCTTGGTCCATATAGTGTCCTGCTTGGTTATAGTAGTCATTTGCTTTGTTATAATAGTTTCCTGCTTGTCTTCCTACATTGTCCATCCATCCTTGAACTTTTCCTCTTGTTTCAGGATTTGGAATAAGATTTGTTGCATCTCGTGCTACATCCCAACCTTTCTGTACAGTTTGTATAATAGGTTGTGCTTTCTCTTTAAGTATACCTAATGTACTCAAAATCTTCCTTCCAACTCCAAATACACCTCTGGCTATTGTTCCCACTGCGGGCAAAAATCTGGATGCAACTCCTGCTAATGCGCCAAATAAACCCATTTCTTATAGGGTAAAAAATGACGAATCCAAACAAGGACCCCCTATGTTTCTAAAGCGACAAAGAAAGCACTCATGATAAAAATCTTTAGTTCAAACACCAAATGCTTGGTTTATGGATATCTTGGAAAACATTCCGAGGTATAGAGAAGATGGACCACCATACTGGCTAATATTTGTCGGTCAAAACACAAGATACTGTGAAGCCATACCATTATGGTCCAAAAATATTTTAGATGTGAAAACTGCTTTGACAATATTCGTTGACAAATACCATCCAACAAAACTGACATCTGACTGTGAAAGTTCTTTCAAATCAGATGAATTAAAAACTATCTGCGTTCAAAAAATGTAAAACCAATATTTCATTGTCGACCAAAACCATTCTGCTCTTGGTGTCATTGACGGATGTATAAAAATGTTAAGAGACTTAAACCAACCACAAGGTGGTGAAGCAAATGAAATGTCATATGACGACAAATATAGACACTTCTCCATGGCAAAGATGAGACAAGTTTTAAATATTTACAATAGCCGTAAAAAAAAGGTTTGGGAAACCACTCCCCTGAAGAAATGAAAAACAACCCTGACTTAGAGAAAGACTATATATTTAATAATTTAGTCAAAAGAGACAAACAAGAAAGAATGCCGGGCTTCAAACTTAAGAAAGGCGACAAAGTAAAAATAGAAATACCTAAACGCGACCCATATGAAAATACTATTGACTATGACAACAATGGGAACCCGACAGGTACTCACATTCGTGTTCGTAAAAATAGAAGAAAGTATACAAGAGAATATTATGAAGTTTTAGGCAAACATGCAAAATGTACACACTGCAAGCAGAAGATAAAACGACTATTGTCAGACCTCGTTTCAAACTTGTCAAAGTTCAAGGTGGTATACTTTCAAAAACAGTTCCTAACAAATATAAGACAACTCCTGACGAATATGCTAAAGAAGTTGAAATGACGACTAAGCAATTCTATACCATGCGTAAACTGTCATGTAAGGTGGCATGTATTCTTTACCCAAGCCTGTTGGATTTGTTTGTGAAAGTATGTGAATGATTTCCTCCTGGTTCAGTTGGTCGAAAAGTCTTTTTTGCTGAATGGTTATAATCTGGAGATAAAACGTCATTGCCAGCATAATATTCTGAGTTGTATAATGGATGGTCTCTTAATGAGTGACTATGGTCACCAGAAAAGTTTGTCGTTCCTGTATGAGTGTGCGGTGGAAGGTTTGCTTCAGTAATTTTCTTCGAACCTCCTGTTTCCTTTGAAGAGTTTGCACAATACAAAAACCTGTCGACTATTTGTTCCCATGCACCAACACCAAACATTACTTGAGGACCTCTTGCATCCATAGATGTATAAATAGAACCTACTGGGTTCATTAAATCAACATATGAGATATTATAGGATTGTCTCTTTTGAACTTAAAATATAGTGCAACTATTTCAGGTTTCTTCTGGTTTGTGTAAGAATATTTTTTATAATATAATCTTATGTTTTCAGGGTAGGTAAAATCTTGACTATTAATATTATTTCTGTCATCTATATAATAGTATACTATTCTCGTTTTTTCTATTGCATTATATCTTTTATATCTATAATAATCTAAATATAATGTTTGCTTTTGTTCATCTGCATGTAGTGTTCCTTCGTCATCTACATAGTCATAATAATATGGTGCTGGAGCTGGGTCAGGCAATGTCATATTCTGCCATTTCATAAACTCGGAAATATTTCTTTTGTTCGTCT